TGTGTGTGTGTGTGTGTGTGTGTGTGTGTGTGTGTGTGTGTGTGTGTGTGTGAGGAACTTTGGAAAAAGCTTGTGCAGGTTTCTTGTGCTGCCCTCACCTGTACCACAAGTACCATCTTCCTGCACACTCATCCACTTCTTTGCATTATATTTTTATCTGATATTTTTGCACGTTCTTCACCTTCTCTTTGATCCCGTTACGGCGTCCTGACGTGATCTCCATCACGCGTGAAAACTTCATCACCTGCAAAGAAACGATGAGTCACCTTCAGCACAGTCTTCCTCTTTAGGTCAGCACGACGACGGTCTCAGAGACGTTCGTGACTCCGTCTGTGTGTCATTACGTGATTTCCCAGCAACTGCTCTGTGACTTCATCTCTCCACTGAAAGGCTCAGGGCAGGTCCAATAAATGATGCATCTACTGTAAACATGAGCGAACATCAGTGTGGATATGAAACAAGTCTATTCCTCATCACAGCTGCCGTTTGTGCATCCAGTAAGAGTTGAAAAACGAGGTACTCACCATTAAAATGTTTATCCTGAACCATAGTTTGAGAGTATTTTTCTACAAAGATTGATTTGCAATTCTACAATAAAATGCAGGTATGCACTGAATGTAAACAAAGATACTTTACACCACAAATATCTGCATAAATACTGACCAGAGCATCAAAATGATCAGATTTCTTCATCCCAAACTGCTTTTCTGTGGACGTCACCATTGCACCATTTTGCTAACAAACAAACAAAAATATTAACATACTTAAATATTTTTAATTTAGAGACAAACTAATCATCAATATGAGAATAAACTGGGAGGAACTTTTTATTTATTTACTATTATTTAGTCATTTCTTTTGGACTGAATACTAATTAAAGTGATACTTCAGATCTTTTAATTGGGGGTTCAGTGAAAAGGTTACGAACAATTAACATCTTACCTGCTGTGGGCGACTTTTTGACTGACTTCAATTTGGAGAAACAAGCGCTTAAATGCAAACACGTTGATTATGTAAGAGCCTTTATAAAAAAAGGCTTTCCTAAAACGTTTTGAATTTCTTGTTGTTTAAGGTGGCAGCACTCCACCGGCAATGTTGCCAGATCTCGTGATAGAAAAAGCAACCAGCTTTATGAAAACAAGCCCAAAAGAAGCTCAACTGGCAACCCACACAGAGGCTGTTTTTAAACAGTATAAACATACATTTATTTTAGCATTACACATAAACAACAACAAAATTATGCTAAACAGTTTGAATAACATAATTTTATGCCAAAAATCAAAATTTTTTCTACATATTTTTTAAAAACAAATCCTGACATCTGCGTGTGAGTGGAGCCCCCTAGTGGTCGGCCACAGTATGAGTGTTTGGGCGTGCGCCTGCCGCCT